AACATGTAGCGTGTGTATTCAAGGCCTTGGTGGTTGTAGTACATATTCAAATGCGGCACTGTTTTATTTTTTGTTGTATGATTTGCACAGAAGCTTATTTTTTGCAAATGGAATAGAGTCTAATACAATAAAACATGTTTTATTTAAGTCAGAGTAAAACAAATCTATTAGTACTTATACACTTGTGGTTGTTAACATGATTATTTGGTTTTTCACTGTGAAATATGTTGGACTAAAAATAGATCACAGGCCACTTGCATAGTGCTACATTTAACCAAGTGGGAATGTAATTTACTATAGAAGCTAGCATTTATTTCCTAATTTATATCCTTTATGAGTCCAACAACAGGGACATTTGCAGTGTTAGCAAAGGGAGAATGCAACAACAAGCGCAATAAAAAACCGAGCAATATATAATAAATAAGAAACATGATTTAATCACTAAGTTAAAAAAAACTACATTTAAAAGACGGATTGAAGGTTGAGACAAATATGATAATATGGTACTGCACAGATGTTATATCCACCTATAATTAATGCCTAGTGTGTACAATAGGCTATTTTAATTTTGGAAAAGGTAAAGCTTATTTAAACTAGTTTTTTTTTTACGGCCTATTCATAATAATACGCTAGATCTTTCATTAATGAATTTATAGTTTGTATTAATGATCCGAATCTACAGTGTAGTTATAGAAATGAAAATCTTTAGTCCCGGGCTCCTCCTATGCAACATAAATAAGACATAACACAATATCAACAAATAAAAAATGGTGCAATAAGAAACAGAGTAGAAATAAAATAGTGCACGATTATGTTGCAAGACCAATGTGCACCTAATGCAGAAGAAGTAAACTACACATATCAAATAAAATACAAAAAGCTAAATGTCGCAGGTAATGTTGCAAGTGACCAGTAAATGTATTGATGTAAGTGTAGTGGAGTAAAAAGTAGAATATAAGAAATATTAGAAATTAGAAATTGTTCTAAAGTGGGCCTATGATAGCTGAGTGTAACATAATAAACCCCAAGATATTTAAATATAAAAAGTGATGCTGTGTATGTGTCATTAGGCAGGGAAAAGCATGTCTGCTGCATTGAACCAAAGCACATGCCTTCTTTTCCCTTGATGCAATTACACTCACTTCTCTGCAGTCTAGGCAGAACGAATTGTGTTGTTACATTAGGATCTCTTATCACCATATTTCGACGACAGACCGATTGAAAACAAACAATATACAGACATCAAAGCCTGCTGTTTCTTAATAAGCTGCTAATTAGCTCCACAGACGTCAAAGTGTTGTGTAATTTCTCAAGGTGACAGATGGGGCGGGACTTCCCGTGACTGCTCTCTACCCAGGAAGTCGTCGTGTTACTTTTTCCTCCTGTTCCTCCGCCTCTTTCTGTCTTGTGAGAGACAGCAGAAACTAAGGTGGCGTTAAGTTGTTTTTACAGCCGGGAAACTAGCAAGAATAATAGTTTCACATTCGCTCCTCATTGTCCTCTTGTCTCCGGTTGTATACATGTGCTGGTTGTCATCGAAGAAATGGCGACAAAAAAGAAGACACGCTCAGAGCGGTAAGGGCTAATTTCAACACGCTTCATCCTAAAGCTACAGTATTTACAGTCAGTCGGGGTATAATCGAGTCTGTCGAGCACCCAGTGAGGACAGCGAGGTACAAAGTCGTGGTTCATAGTTGATTTTCGGGCTTAATACACCCGTTTTGGTGGCGTATATCAGCGAGTCAGCCACAGGTGATAAGAGGAAATCGATCAGAGACAGTTGTGTGAATCATCACTCCAGTTCACTGGAAACAACTTCCTACGAAATGCACTTGAACATTTCCTGATTTCATTCGATCTTTCACAATGTTGTTGCACTAGTCTTCTTTGTTGTCATTGTTATTGTAACCTTTATTTTCTGAAAGTACACTGTGTTCTTCTAATTTCAGATAGAAGAGCATAATGAGAGTTGAGGCATATGCCAGAACCACAACCCCCAAGATGAGACCTGTCCCTCATCAATTTCTTCATTTGTTGCCCTCATTGACACAGTATTAAGTGTCATAATAACCAGAGTAAACTTCATTGTGAGCCAACAAAGTGGTGACTCCAGATCTCTGAATATGTGCTTGTGATAATACACATGCTGCCCTTCCCATATCCTATTCCTAGTGTCTGTAACCAGGACTCATCATTGTATTCAAACCCTGTCCTACTGAAAACCCCCTCCCTCCCTCTGAGTTTCTGTGCCATGATCCGCAAGCGAGGCTCTCTCATTCTTTGTGGTACGTTCCTGTTTATCACCTGGAACGCCATACTTGTACTTCTGCTGTGGGGCAGACCCCCATCGGGCCAGACTGAGGAGCATGGCCAGGGGAAGAGAGAAGTGGCTGAAAGGCCCACCAATGATATGGTGGAGATGTGCTCCGAATGGCAGACACGTTCGAAGCAGAGCTGGAAATGCAGAGAAAAATCCTGCTTCAGATCAAGAATCAGCAGTCCCTGTGGGATCCGTCAAACAAAACGCACCAAAAGTAGTCGTCCCGCCCCAGCTTGTGATACCTATCCTGGTAATCGCCTGTAACAGGGTCACCGTGAGGCGCTGCTTGGACAAACTCCTGGAGCTCCGTCCTTCCGCAGAACTTTTCCCAATCATCGTGAGTCAGGACTGTGGGCACGCTGAAACTGCTGAGGTGATCCGTTCTTATGGAAATCAAGTGATCCATCTGAAACAGCCGGTCTTGTCAGATATATCGCTGTGCGACCAGAGCACAAGAAGTTCCAGGGTTACTACAAAATCTCCAGGCATTACCGCTGGGCTCTCAAACCAAGTGTTCAAGACCCTCTCTCATTCCTCTGCTGTGGTTGTAGAGGATGACTTGGAGGTAATCATATCATCAATTAGTGCCTACAATTGCTTCAGTTAATTTAGAAGCTCATAGTGACATTACAATGTTAATTATTTCATATATCAATATTAAAAAAACGAGTATATGTTCTATTTTGACAGCTATCAAGTTGCATATCTTTACAGCAGATGATTTCACTTGTTGACAGTGCATGTTACACTGACATTAAATTGTTCATCTCCTACTCTAGGTGGCGCCAGACTTCTTTGAGTACTTCCAAGCCTTGCTGCCACTCCTAAAATCTGACCCCACTCTGTGGTGTGTGTCGGCCTGGAATGACAATGGCCGGGATGGCTACGTGGATCCAGGCAGCGCCAACCTTCTCTACAGGACAGACTTCTTTCCCGGTCTGGGCTGGATGCTCCTCAGGGAGATGTGGGAAGAGCTGGAGCCAAAGTGGCCCGCGTCATTCTGGATGACTGGATGCGTCAGCCAGAGCAGCGCAGAGGCCGTGCCTGTATACGCCCGGAGATCTCACGAACTTTAACCTTTGGCCGGAAAGGAGTCAGTCTGGGTCAGTTCTATGACAAATACCTGCGATACATTAAACTGAACACCGAATTTGTGCCTTTCACCAAGTTAGACCTGAGTTACTTAAAGGAGGAGAAGTACAGAGAACATTTGAGAAGGAAGTTTACAGAGCTCCTGTAGTTACATATGAAGATGTCAAGCAGGGGCAGCTAAAAGAACTGGGCCTTACCGCCTTCAATACTCGAGTAAGGACAGCTTCAAAATTCTGGCCAAAAACCTGGGAGTGATGGATGACTTGAAGTCTGGAGTGCCAAGGACAGGATACAGAGGGGTCGTCAGTTTCATCTCAAAAGGACGAAGGATCTACTTGGCTCCTCCTCCGGGATGGACCAAGTATGATCCCAGCTGGAGCTGATGATCCATTTATGCGTATTAGCTTTTTGTGATCTCTGAATGTCTGAGTGAGAAGCATTACAGACCAAAGACTAATGTCTCTAATGTTTATGTTTGATGTGTAATTATATATACTTTTGATTATTATCTGTGATGATGCAGAATGAATGTCTCCCCTTTTTGGTGTTGGGGTTATTGCCAATGCTACTCAGGTCTTTTTCATTATACGAAAACACATTTCTTACAGTGTAGGATACAGCCTTAGACGAGCCTGCAGTAATTCACAAGAGATCTATTTTATATGCTCCTAAATGTGCAATGACACTCATTAATGCATTCAATGCAATCAACTAGTATGCCACTATTGTTTTAAATTATTTGCAATTTATGGTAGCCTATATGACTTGTTTATGTCTGTTACGAATATGAAAATATAATCTGTGGTATGGTTGTTGGTGACTGGTCAAAGCTGCAGTATAATCTAACATTTGACTCTCATTTTTGTGTCTTATATGAAAATCAGTTAGTCAATTGATTTTCTTGAATGATTCTCCAATGTATTACACCTTACAGGTTTGTTACCTGTGTTTGTATATTTTTGGAATAAAAAAACCCAATTTACTATTTTGCCTTTTAATAAGTTGTTAAATTGAGTTAGCAGAAAGAATACAGTGTTTTCCTTTCATATTGAGATAAGATAAAACTGTAGAAAGAGTGCAAACATATAGAGAACAAAATGGGAAAATATATTTTACTTGTTAAGTGAATACATTATAGAGCAATTAAGCTTTAAAAAGTTACCACGGGGCAAAGTCTTACCGTTTTATATTTTTCAATTCATAATTTGTTATTGTGTGAAGAGGCCCACATAGTTATATTTCTTTCTTCCAGAACCTAAAACGTGAGGATCTTTTAAAAGAAAATGTAGGTGTATGAATGTAGATTAGAAAATATTATTAAAGTTCAAATGTACAGATCTTATCCAAGACATCTACAAATATCTTGCCACAATTTACGTGTAGACATTTCCATAACACAGGAATTAGTTTCAGCATTTGTGTGTGTGCGTGTGTGTCTCTCTACGGGCGCCGACGTGGCCAAAACTTGATACGCGCGTCCGTTAGGTTCCCTCTGTTCAGTGTTTACTTCATTTCTAATGATGATGTGAGACCGAAACCGCTAGCTAGCTAGCCTACCTAAAGTAATGAAGAACCGGTAGAGATGGACGACACACCTCATGTAATGGGGGAACATACTGATGGGCCTCCTCTTACTTTTCATCTCATGCTAGCCGTTTGTTCTCAACTATTTGCTGTAAAGTAACCGTTATATCCTGACTGGCAGTGTTAACCTACTAGCGTGCTAGGCTAGCTGTTCGTGTTTCGGTGTGCCGTGATATGGCCGATCGCAACATTCGCCTACACTGGAATTGGTTTCTTATGTACCCGTTCTGAATAACACAACCCTTGTTAACAGGGCCTGGCATTTAGTGGTATAGCCACCAGGAAGCAATCTTAGCTAGCGAAACGGTGTGGCCTGGAATGGAGCCAGGCGACTTGCGAGAGAGCCCCGCCGGGTCCGGGGAGTCAGACACCGGGGACTGGAGGGAGGAGGGGTGTCCCGGTGGGCCCGAGGAGGTCAAAACTCCCGAAACTAATGGGACAACTATAGAGACCTCGACCAGAGACACCTGCGAGGAAGGGGAAACCGAAAAACAAAAAGGAGTGGGGGAGCAATTACACAGCCCCTATGAGGAAAAACTGGACCCCAGGATCAAGGTATGGAGAACCTGGTGTGTCTGTGTGCGGTGTTTTTAACTATATTTACATAGGAATCAGCCAGGGTGTAGTTAAGACAAGAAAATATGGACCTTTATTAATCCCCGTTGGGAAATTCCGTTGTCATAGCAGCAAGAGAATAAGCAAGGAACACAGGTAGAAAAAAGGGTGTTAGCTCTGGGTCTGAAATAAGCATCTCTTGTCACTAACATTTAAATCCAGTGCAAGCTACGCATTGTGTAGGCCTGTAAAGGCTATTTTATACGTAGATAATTTGTAGACCTTGTCCCTGGTTAGGCTTTTAAAAATGTCAATGGTCAATATGTATATATTTTACTGTTCATTTCTGTCTTTTTTTGTGTGCTATTTTGTGATTTTTACATTTGTTTAATCTTTACTCATTCATTTTCACATTATGTGCAATGCTTTGTTTGAATGCTGCTACAAACACACTTCCCATTGCAGTGCCAATAAAGCCACTGGCATTTGACAAACAACCACTACAGATAGTTATTTCAAATGCAATACTGTGCAATGACTGAAAACGAGGATTAAGAACAACAGAAAGGAATTTAAGTATGTTTAATATTTAAACCTGTTTAAATGTATCTCAGTGTTCACAGACTTTCCTTTGTTAAATCCATAATCCGTGCAAATCTGGTTGTCAGATCAAGATTATCTGACTGTCATTCAATTGCGCCGACATATCCAATCGTAACATACCTGTGAAGTTAATTTAATTCCCTGTTTGTGTCTCCCCTGCATTACATTTAAATTAAAAATAAAATCAGTGTTGTTACATTTAAATGTGATGATAAAACATGATGTATAAACCGGAGCTAATTTAGTCTAGACTGTATGTGTTGGAGGATTAAGCCATTTATATTCCCTAGTGGTTAATACATTGGAGCCTAAAGCAGCACATATTTTTTTCTTTTTCCCACAGGATGAGTTGGAGCATCTTAATGAAGCCAGTGCAGAAATTAACAGACTGGAGCTTCAGTTGGATGTAAGTAAAAATGCAGATTTCTACCCCCTAATTAGGGGCGCTTGTTCAGTCTTTCTATAAATGGCTGAAAAATATGGAAAACAGTTTGAATAAAAACACTTTGATTTTCACTAAACAAAACTCATGAGAAATATGAAATCTACCACCGTAGGATTAGTTAGAATCTCTGAATGTCTTTGTTGTTGAATATTTTATTAGTCTACCCAGACAGTGTTCATCAAAATGACAATTTAGTTTTAATATCTTTTAAAATAAGGTTGGGAAAAGTCAGAACTCTTAAAATGGAAAATGTTGAATGGTTTAATGCCCAAGTGAATTGATTGCACACCGGCAGTCATACTCCTCTGTGGAATCTAATCAGTCATTCCATTCAGGTAAATCTAATCTTGTTATTTTCATGCATTAACCATCCAGGATGCTAGATCAGGGTACCGGAAAATCCTCACCGAGTCTGCCAGGAAGCTAAATGCTCACAGCTCTCAGCTTGGTGGCTGCATAGAGAAAGCGAGACCCTACTATGAAGCTCGCCGCCTTGCCAAAGAGGTACACACACACACACACACACACTGGGAAACTGGACTATGTATTCCTTAAAGGTCACCTATTATGCAAAATCCACTTTTTTATGTCTTTTATACATGTGTCCCCTCTGTGTAAAGAGATGCTTAAAGTTTCAGGAACAAATATTCTCTCTCTTTTTGTCCTGATCCATTTATATAAAAACCTGTCTGAAAATGAGCTGATCAGATTATGGCCACTTTATGATGTCATAACGATGTTTTGGCTTGTGTAACCATTAGCCAATCACCAACCAAGGTAACCCCCCGACCTTATCACATGCATCTCCTCCTAGAGCACCATTGTGTTCTTTTTAACCAATTATCTCTCAGAGGGGCGTGGGGAGGGGCTCCTTATTTTCATCTAAAGTAACAGACAGAGAATCAGCACTTTTGAAACAGGGCTGAAACAGAGGGGATTATGGGATGCTGCAATGCATGATCTGTTTGGTATTTGGAGCCAAACACTTCAGGGAAATGTTTTGTATATATCTGAGACCTATAATATATTGATGAAAAGCAGTAAGGTAGGGGACCTTTAAAGAACCTCTGAAACGAAGTGTCCTTTATTGAAATGCAAAAGTTGACATAACTAAAAAAGAATATTGTGCCTGAACATGCTGTTGTTTACCTTTTTTAAAGAGCAACTTGCAGGTTAGAGACACCAGTGAATAAATGTGTAGGAAAATGATGAATACACTAGATCAGGGGTGGCCAACCAGTCAGAGGTTAAGAGCCACATGTTTTCTATGTTACTGCAAGGAGCCACATCAAACACACAGTCACTGATACGCTTGTTTCAGTTTTTGTTTTCTGGAGACAGATTTCAACCACGTCACTGATTCATTTTTGTGGCATTGGGATATATTTTAAAATCCTCTGGAGCAGAGAGAGGAGCTGTGGATTATTGTTATTGATTAATGCATCAGTGTTTCTTAGGGTCAAAACACTAAACCCCACAATTAAAATGAAAGCGTTTAGTTATTTAATAAAAGAGCACATGTTCAATGTGAAAAGTGACAGTAGTTATAGATTATTTGCAATTTGATGCTATATATATTTTTTAAAAGTATATAAATAACACCTTGAATTTCAGGGGGGGCGCGGGGCTCCGTTGGCGGCTCGCAGTGCCCCTCCAAGACAATGGTAGGGGAAACACTGGATAGTGTTTAATCACGATAGGTTTTCCCCCCCTCAAAGGTGATTGGTTCACTGCATTGCAGGTATTATTGTGATTGGCTGTTGGG